CCTGCTCCCCCCCACTCAGCCTCTTCCGCTCTTCCTTGCCCTCTTGCTGCCATGTCTGAGCCGCCGCCGGGCTTCCCGCTGCCCCGCGCTGCTGAGCCAGCCCCGTGCTCGCTCGCCCGCCGCCCGCCCGTTTCCCCTCTTCCTCCTCCTCCTGTTGGGGAGGTCATTTTATACGGCCAGTCGCCTTGTACGCCGGCAAATACGGTAATATGAATGGTGTTGCTACCACATTTAAATTTCGGCATCTACACTGTGCACTAAGCAAAGCCTGTGCATTTTCAAGGATAGTCCAACACATGATCTATTACAGTAATCCCACTGGGAGATTAACAACGTGGATCATTGTGACCAGACCATCATTATGCAGGAATAGTAACAGCTAACAAACCAGACTAAGTTGGTAAAAGGCACTCTATGTCACTAAAGCCACATGGGTCTTCAGTGAAATCAACCTCTCATTCCTCTCATACCAGAGGTTGAACATCATCCAAAGCTATCTTGAATTTGGATGCAACAGCTCTGAACAATGATGTTGTAAGATAAGTCCTTTAGTGATGTTAAATCCAAATGTATCCCCAAATTACATACTGTCCTTTTCAGAGAGTGTGCAAATCTCATTCATATGACAGAGGGAAAAACAGCTGCATACAGGTGTCCTTTTCACAACAAACCATCTGATTTAATATATCTTGCTGTCTTACACCAATGCTATATACAAGAGTGAACCACTATATGAAGATACCTCCTGCACTCTGTCCATATAATCAGTCCAGTGAGATACAATTGTCAACAGCATCGCATGTTACTGAGAGGCTCAGAAAATTTAACAGGGTCACACTTTTCCATTTCCTTAGAGATCATCCACTGAGGTGACCAATGCTATCTTAGTACCAATATGGGATCTGCATCCACATTGAACTAGATCCAGGTAATCTGTTCCATCCAAAACCATCTGGACTAGAATTGCTACCATCCTCATGAGTACTTAGCCAAAAAAGGAAATATTAGTAACTGGGTAATACATGCTACAATCTTCCAAGTCCAAAATACGCCTCTTTGAGAAGGATCCTCACAATAACTTCAGTCAAAGTTGCTGTCCCTGATCCCTCAAAATGCCAGCTGTGCCAACACAATGATCAAAATCCTATTGGGAGTAAATTTGCCTTGTAAATATGCCAAAACAATTTTGGTCATAATTTAATTTGAATTAAATTACAACTTCATAGCCTCCTCCCTTTCAGATTCCAAGTCTCCTGTTTGCCCTGGGGAGACCTTTGGGAGCCCCACAACTGTTGAGGAAGTTTCTAATAGACAGAAAATCACTGCTGGATTGCTGCTGGCAGTCCCAATCCTGGTGATGGTGATCCAGCAGCAATTTTTGATTATTCAAGGCTCCCACCGCCACTGCTCTAAGGCTCCCAAAGCCTTTCCTAGAGAAGAAGAAAAAACTATAGGAAGCCTTAGAACCTGAGAAAGTGGGATAAGAAGCTTTTAATTAATTTAATTGTACTAGCATCAGATGATGACATCCTCCAGCTTCCACTAGCATAAATTTTCACCAATAAGATTTTGCCCATAATCTCTTGCCAAAATTCACCTAATTCACAAAACGTCCTGCTGAATCATCCTTATAAGAGAGGTCAGTGACTGTTCAAATAATATCCATTACCTTGATTATATACTCACTCAATAAAGGTAAGAAACTGAAACAGAAACACCCTTGCTTCATCAAGACAACATGCTTTTCAAGAAGTAGTATGCATTTGAGTGATGACAGTAGCCAACCCTTAGCATGATATCCACAAACATTTTATAGTAGTGGGCAACAATAAACACCAGAGAGTCAGAGGGCTATCATTCCCTCAGAAGAAATCAGAGAACTAGACATTTAGTTCCACTTGAAGCAGGAACTGGCAAGCCACTCCAGTATCTTTGCCAAGAAAACTCCATGGACAGAAACAAAATGCTAAAAGATATGACACTGGAATATCAGCCCCTCAAGTTGGAAGGCATCCAACATGCTAGTGAGGAAGAGCAGAGGACAAGTACAAGTACAGTAGCTCCAGAACTAATGAAGTGGTTGGGCTAAAGACTAAAGGACGCTCAGCTGTGGACATGCATGAAAGTGAAAGGAAAGTCTGATGCTGCAAAGAAAAAGACTGCATAGGAGCCTGGAATGTAAGATCTATGAATCTTGGTAAGCTGGATGTGGTCAAACAGGAGATGGCAAGAATAAACATTGACATCCTAGGTGTCAGTGAACTAAAATGGGCAAGAATGGGCAAATTCAATTCAGATTACAGTATTATCGTATCGTGAGCAAGAATCCCATAGAAGAAATGGAGTAGCCCTCATAGTCAACAAAAGAGTGAGAAAGGCTGTACTGGGATACAATCTCAAAAATGAGGGAATTATTTCAATACAAATCCAAGGCAGACCTTTAAACATCACGGTAATCCTAGTTGATGCACCAACGACTGATGCAGAAGAGGCTGAAATTGACCAATTCTATGAAGACTTACAACACCTTCTAGAACTGACAGCAAAGAAATATGTTCTTCTCATTATAGGGGACTGGAATGCTAAAGTAGGGAGTCAAGAGATAAAAGGAAGAACAGAAAAGTTTTGCCTTGGATTTCAAAACGAAGCAGGGCAAAGGCTAATAGAGTTTTGTCAAGAGAACAAGCTGGTCATCACAAACACTCT